ATATTATTTTGTATCTTCGGCTATTATCTTTATTATTGTGTATCTTTTGCTCTTATCTTTATTATTGTATATCTTTTGCTATTGTCTTTGTTACTATGTGTCTTTGCATTGCCAATCTATTGCTCAATCTTTTCAATAGCCCTGAGCAGCTGGTCCTGTTATTACCAGGTGAAGAAACTGAGGCTTCCAAAAGAAAAAGTGGCAACATCGTAAAAGCACTTTCGGATTTCACCATCAGTGCTCTTAACCACTTAGCTCTAGTCTCCCCCTGTAGGAACCAAGGGTGATGGGGCAGTCATCCTCCACACTTCCCTTGTCTTCGCCTCCACAAATTTCACTAGTTTCTTTGATGGTACTGCAAAACTCTCTATCCAGTCTATCTAGGTCTCTCCATCTTTGTTGTCATGCTGGCCCAAGCTATCCCTCACCCTTGCCCACCCAGTCATCTCAATTTAGCCTCCTGATTAGTCTCCCTGAATCTACACTCTGGCCCCCTTCTCTTCACCTCCCAACCCAGCAGCCAGAGTGATTTCAGATATGATATCAGATATGATCTTCCCCTACTCACTACCCTTTAGGGGCTCCCCATCCCACTGGAATAGAGACCAAACCCCTCACCCCAGCCTAAACATCCTCCGTGTTTGGGCCCAGCTGAAATGAAATTCTCCAATTTCATTTCCTCCATCATTACTCTCCAGTTCCTAGTACTAGCCTTTCATTAGATCCCAGAATAGGCTAAATTCAGGTGCTTTAAACTGGTGGTCCTCCTCTTTCAAGGATATTTCTCTTATTCTTGGCAAAGCTGGCTTCTTCTCATCCTTTAGCTCTTTAGACAAATGCCACCTCCTCTGAGAAGCCCTCCCTGACCACCCTATTCAAAATAAATAAATAAATAAATAAACCAGTTGCAGTGGAGTTGATTCTAACTCACGGTGATCCCATGTATTTCAAAATAGAACTGCACTCCACAGAGTTTTCAATGATTGTGGTCTTTTGGAAGTAGATTGCCAAGTCTTTCTTCCAAGACATCTCTGGGTGAGTTCAAACCACCAACCTCTCAGTTAGTAGCTGAGCACTTAACCATTTGTGCCACCCAGGAACTTCATTATTCAAAATAGGTTCCCCCTAATTCTGTAATAGAAAATTCTGTTTACAATCATCACAAAAATTATCACATAGAAATCATAATAATCTAATTACTCAGTTTAGTTATTTTTGTAAATTCCTGGAGAGCAGAATTTTTTGCCACTTGCTTGTTCAATAACCAGTTTAAAAAAAAAAAAAAAAGCAAAGCAACAACAATAACAAAAAACTTCTGATCTTTCCCTGCAAACCAGTTCCTCCTAAAGTTTTAATAAATGGTAGTAGCTCCATCCTTCCAGTTGCTCAGGTCAAAACATTGGAGTCATCCTTGACTCTTCTCTTTTTCTCCTATCCCTCCATCCAATGTCAGCAGATGTTGTTGTTGTTCGGTGCCATCAAGTCGATTTCTGACTCATAACGACCCCATGTGGCAGAGTAGAACCGCCCCATAGGCTTCTCTTGGCTGTAATCTCTACAGGAGCAGATTCGGGGTCTTTTTTCTGCCACCGGGTGGGCTTGAACAACCAACCTTTCAGTTGTGCTTAACCATTGCATCACCAGGTCTCAGACACTTATCCAGAAATCCCTTCAAACAGATGCAGAATCTGACCTCTTCTCAACCCCTCCACAGGCATCACTCTGGTCCAGGTGTTGTCACCTCCCACCTGGGTTATTGAAATCTTCTCCTCACAGATCTTCCTGCTTCCTCTCTCACCCTCTTCAGTCTGTTCCCCACATGGCAGCCAAAGGGACCCTGTTCACACCCAAGTCAGCTCACATCTCTCCACAGAACTCTCCTGCCTCACTCAAAGTCAAAGCAAAGCCCACACCCTGGTTCACAAGTCCTTGTGTGATCTGCCCAGGTCTGTCCCTGACCTCATCTCCTGTCCCTCTCACTCTCACTCACTCTGTTCCAGCCACACTGGCCTCTTCAGCCTCTTTACTGATCTTCACTCACACCAGGCAGGCTCCTGCCTCATGGCCTTTGCACTTGCTATACTCTCTACTTGGGATGCTGTCCCCCAGATATGTACCTAGCTCCATCCCTCCATCCTGTCTTTCCTCAAATGTCATCACCTCAGTTAGGTCTTCTTCCCCGACCATCATCTTTAAAATAGCAATCACCACCCAACCAAATATCCCTTATTCTTTGTCCTTGCTTCATTTTTTGGCCGTGGCTTTATCACCACCAAGGAGCAGTGGTTAAGCACTCAGCTGCCAATCAAAAAGTCAGCAATTCGAACCCACCAACCGCGCCACAGGAGAAAGACCTGATGATCTGCTCCCATAAAGATTATAGCCTTGGAAACACTATGGGGCAGCTGTACTCTATCACATGAGGTCTAAGGGTTGGAATCAGCTCAGTGGCAATGTGTTGGTTTTCCTTATCACCAACAGACAGTCTATTTCTTTATTCATCTTTTTAATGGTGTGTCTTCTCCCAAAGAATGTAAGCCCAATAAAGGGAGAATTTTTATTTCATTTATTGTACTTTAGATGAAGGTTTACAGAACAAACTAGTTTCTCATTAAATAATTAGTACATATATTGTTTTGTGACATTAGTTGCCAACCCCATGACATGTCAACACTCCCCCCTTTTCGACCTTGGGTTCCCCATTACAAGCTTTCCTGTCCCCTCCTGCCTTCTCATCCCTGCCCCTGGGCTGGTGTGCCCATTTAGTCTCGTCTTGTTTTATGGGCCTGTCTAATCTTTGACTGAAGGGTGAACCTCAGGACTGACTTCATTACTGAGCTATAAGGGTTTCTGGGGGCCATACTCTTGGGGCTTCTCCAGTCTGTGTCAGACTGGTAATTCTGGTCTTTTTTTGTGTGTGTGAGTTAGAATTTTGTTCTACATTTTTCTCCAGTTCTGTCCAGGACCCTCTATTTTGATCCCTGTCAGAGCAATTGGTGGTAGTAACTGGGCACCATCAAGTTGTGCTGGACTCCGTCTGGTGGAGGCTATGGTAGTTGTGGTCCATTTGTTCTTTGGACTAATCTTTCCCACAAAGGCAGAAATTTTTGTCTGTTTAATTTTCTTCCTTTTTTTCCCCCAAGATTACACATTCTTGGTAGTTTATTTGAATATATGACATATTTCTTTTTTTACTTCCCATTCCCTCCTTCTCCCACCCCCGGTAACCACTAATCTTGTGTATGTGTGTGTGTGTGTGTGTGTGTGTGTGTCTATAGATTTACCTATGTTAGATATTTCATGTAAGTGGGATCATACAGTAAACCAAAAAAGCAAACCCACTGCAGTCAAGTTGATTCTGACTCATGGCGACCTCATGTGTAACAGAGTAGAACTGCTCCATAGGGTCTTCTTGGATTCTTTTCATGGAGACAGATCACCAGACATTTTTTTTGCAGTACCACTGGGGAGGTTCAAACCGCCTACTTGTAGGTTTTTAGTGGAGTGAGTGCAAACTGTTTGTGCCACGTAGGAATGTTGATCATACCATATTTGTTGTTTAATTCACTTTTTATCACCAGTGTCTACAACAGTGTCTGGCTAAGAAGGGACCAATGCTTGTTAAACAAATAAGTAAAATTGTCAGCACTTAATAAGTGTCTGATGGAGAAAGTAAATGAATGCAACAGTTGTGGACGCTCCGCAGTTTGAGTGGTTGTTATTAACATTCTAAGGGTGTATTGTACAGGGACTCATGCAGTAATAATAGTGGTAAACGATTGACATTTATCCTCATAAAAATGCTATGCAAGAAAATTAAGAGCCCATTTTACAGATGAGAAAACAGAGAGCTACGAGTTTTATGACTTGCTCAAGGTCATAGAGTTCGTAGACACCAAGCAAGGACTCCAGGGGCTGAGCACAACATTTTGGAGACATGGGAAAGGATGTAACAGCAATAGTCATTGAAAAAGGATGTTTGTGGAGGAGATATGAGGATCAGACATTTGGTGGGCAAAAGGGTCCAGATACAGAGGCCGCTTGGGATATGGAACCTCATCACTCTAGAATCTAGAGTGATGTTGTTCATTAGTGGGAATGGCGGCTTTGAGAAAGAGAATGTTAGCAGAGGCAGAATGTTGGCAGAATACAGGATGCAGGTAGGAATACAACATTTAGGGACCGAGAACAGTATGAGGATGAACCATTATGAGGATCCAGTGTTGGTGGTGATGAACCATTCAGAAAGCATAGGATGTTGCCAGGGTAGAAGATTCTGGGCACAGGAAAATATTTTCAGGATGAAATGTTATGGGAGTCTAGAGCCTTCTACAGTACAAAACATAGAAATATCTAGAATATTGACGATGACTAAATATTTGAGGTGGTTATAGCATGTTCTCAATGAAAGTCTGTTCACGGGACATAGAATATTGTTGAGATGGCTCGATGTAGGTATTTATGAATGTAGCCACGGATAGAACATTCAGAACACCATCTGGATCTATGTTGTTGTTGTATGTGATGGAGTCGATTCTGACTCACAGCGACCTTATAGGAAAGAGTAGAACTTCCCCATAGGGTCTCCTAGGCTGAAATCCTTACGGGAGCAGATCACCAGGTCTTTTCTTCCATGGAGCAGCTGGTGGGTTCAAACCACAGCCCTTTTGGTTAGCAGCCAAGCGCTTAACCATTGTACCACCAGGGCTTTTGGGTCTATGTTAGCCACGTTGAAACATTTAGGAGATCTGGAATGTTGTTTGGGTTGGGGACATTCAGGGGACTGGTATGTTTCAGGGATGCAACATTTGGGAGACCACAATGTTGGCAGTGACTAAATGCTTCTGAAAGATAGAACATCGGCTGGGATTGAAGATTTTGAGAACATGGGTCATTAGCTAGAATGGAACACTTTGGGAGAGGCAGAGGAGGGCTGGGTAGACTGAGGAAGGAGGGCATGGGGGAGGAAGGAGGCAGGAAGTGAACCCCACTTTTATTACAGGCCCTTTGTCCATTTCTGCTCCTGGGTTTTGTGTTTTCGGATTGTTTCCCAGATCCATGGAACGTATTGAGAGACACGAGTGTAGACACCAGGTCGGTTGGGCTGCCCACAAGGGAAGTCTCCCCAAGAGATGATGCCATGGAGTGTTCCGTTACAGACTAGGGGGCCTCCAGAGTCACCCTAAGTGGAAGGAGAGAGAGATACATGGGGTCCTTGCTAGGGATAAACAAAGACAGAGACAGATAGACGTAGGGAGAGAGCAAAAGGTGGAGAGAGACAGACACAAAGGCACACAGATAGTCAGAGGAACACAGAAAGAGGGTGAGTGAGAGCAACAGCAACAGAAAGAAACAGAGAGATGAGAAGACAAACACTGAGGGGAGAGAGAATGAGAGACAGGGAAAGAAACCCCACCACCACCCCAGTCCAATTCTCATCCTTACCCCATGAAAGATACAGAGACAGAGAGAGAAATGAGAAACAGAGACTACTTATCTGTCTCTCTCTGGTCCTCTGTCTCATGAGAGTGGTGACAGCTTGCACATACACCTGTTCTTGGAGCTTACCTCATACACCTGTTCTTGGTTCCCTGGCACCACATCCCACCTTGGCTCCCCACTACCAGCTGACCCTGCTCCTGATTTATTATTGTTCCTTTGTGGCATCCTACTATTGAGTTAAGGGGCCCTGATGGCATAACGGTTAAGTGCTTGGCTGCTAATTGAAAAGTTGGTAGTTTGAACCCATCCAGTGGCTCTGCAGGAGAAAGACCTGGTGAGGCGATCTGCTCCCGTATAGATTATAGCCTAGAAAACCCTATGGGGCAGTTTTATTCTGTCACATAGGGTTGCCATGAGTCGACAATCTACTCGACAGCACCTAACAACAACAATAGCAACTATTGAGTTAACCTATCCACATTCTGGTAGGGTATGCAACACACATGTATTTCCACTTCTTCCTCTGCATTCAAGGCAGATCTCACTAATCCATCAAGGCACCTATCACTAATTCATCATTATACTCTTTCGCACTGAAACAAAACTCAATCTTAGAAGCCTCCTCTATTGGACATTGCCCATGTAACATCCACTTACCCTTATTTTGGTACCAGTCCCTCTGAATTTTCCTTTGGAGGAACTATCCCTCCCATACTCTCAATCTATATAGTTTAGCTCAGTCTCGCAGTTAGTCATATGACCCAGACTTTGTCCATCACAGAATCTCACAATTCTGGCCAGAGTGATGGTTCTAGGATGGGCACGTGATTCAAGTCAGACTCATGCTCAAGACTTTTGTGTCAACTATTGGGAAAGAGGCGTTCTCTCTTTCCAATAGAGTTGCTTAGAGCGTAGGATGTAAGCCTAAATCTGCCTGGGCCATCTAGACATTGTATAAGAATGAAGCCAAAACAGAAGAGAGAGTTTCCAAAACAGAAAAGAAAGTTGCTGAGAGTTAAAGAGAGAGAGAGTCCTGAAAACATCATTTGAGCACCTGGATCCATCTGTACCTGAAGCGAGAAACCTTTGGACTTTTCAGTTACAAAAGCCAGTTTTTTTTTTCCTAAGTCAGTTTGAATCGGCTTTTTGTTTAAGCCAGTTTGAGCTGAATGTCTGTCTCTTGCAACCAGAAGAATCCTAAACTTTTATACACCTCAACACAGGGATCTGGACAGCCACTGTCAGTCATAGCTGGTGCTTAAGATGAGTTTATATTTTCCATCCATGAGTACCCTGTTTGTCTTGAACCCATATGCTAGGAGGTATCTCATCTTACAGATACTTGTTCTCCCAAGACTGAAAGCAGATCCTTTTTCCTCCCGCCTTCCCCCAAGCATCTTCCCCCAACTCCATTCTAGCTTCCCATCCTAGCCTGTACCAATCCACGAACTCCATGGTCTCACCTCACAGGAATCCTTGCCACCTTCTTTTGTGCCAGCACACAGCATGTTGGGAGTGATTCTCCCAGGGTAGACTTGACGACACTCTTCATCTGAGTGTAGTTGGATGTTGGCACATTGTAAGATTTTTGGGTAACTCACTGGGAAGGAAAAAGAAAAAGGTCTAAGGCTGGCTGTTCTGGACAGATTATGGGGTGGCAGTTAAATAGGAGAGTTGCATGGGCAGATTGTTGGTAGAAAGTAGAGATAGAAAGAGAAAGATGAGGGAAGAAATAAAGCATGTAGCTGGGGAAGTAATGGAAGAGACAAATGTGGAGAGAAGTGGGGGGAGAGGTGGAGAGAAAGATGGGGAGAACAGTGGAGGGAAAGATGGGGAGGGATGGGGCAGGGAACTGGGAAGGAAGAGATATAAATGGGGAGACAGATGAGAGAGATGGAGTGAGAGATGGGGAAAGAAAGTTGGAGAGAGGGAGTTGGGAAGAAATAGGAAGACAGATGGTGAGAGACAGAGAATCAAGATGGGAAAAACACTAGAAGGAAAGACGGAAAGAGATGTGAGAGTGTTGGAAAGAGTGATGGGAAGAGAGATGGGCATATTGAGGGGAAAGATATGAAGATGAGACCCGGAGACAGCTTAATGATGTTAAGGACTTGCCAAGGGCTCTAGTTAATAAAAGGGAATCCTCCTTCACCTTTCCTCCCATCTCTGCCTCAGTTCCCCTCACCCTTCACCCCCATCAATTCTGTGAGCCTTCAAGCCAGTTTATGTAGGAACATACCCTGAGGGCTAGTGGTAGTGCCCCAGCCAGACACTCGACAGCAGGTTCCAGAAGGTAGGCAGACGTGGGAAAGGGGCAGGACGCGGATGTGGCTTGTGAGCTGGACCGGGGACTGTAGCTCCAGCAGCATGATGTCATGGTCATGGTGCAGGTGGGTGGGGCTGATCTGGTATTCAGGGTGGGAGATAGAGTGGACTACCTCCCTTACCTGCTCACCTGCCTCCACACGCCCCAGGGCATGCTTGCCCAGGTAAACTTCGTACCCACTGTGGGTGAAGAAAGAGGTGATTAGGGGAGAGGATGAACCCTTCTCCATCCCAGTCCTACCCTCAGCCTCTTCCCCATCCCGAACCTAACCCCACCCCACCCTACTTCCCTCCTCCCCAAACATCAAACACATCTCTTTCCTCACTTCCAACTCCAGTCCCACCAAATCCCCTACTTCACCTCCATTCTCATACGACTGCCAGATCTCCACACCAAATATTTCTCACCCCCGTGCCCTTCCCCAACCCCAAACCCAACCCTATCTTGAAATTCAACTCCACCCCCACCAACCACCCCAGTCCCACTCTCATCCCTACCCCATGTTCCCCTGGCTCACACATACTCCTTCAGACAGTGTGCCGCAGTGAGGACCCATTTGGGATGGACTAGGACTCCCCCACAGAGCAGCTTCCCTTTCACTAGTAGGGCCGCCTGCCAGGGCTGAGAGTGGGGGAGGCAGGTGTAGCCACCTGGGAGAAATCCATTGGTTACATTGGTGCCATTCAGAATCTTGGGGTACTCCTGAGAGATGCCTGGTGGAGGAGAGAAGTTGGTAGAAAAATTTATCCAAGGGGGAGGAGGAAGCTTGGAGTTGTGGTTACTGGGCTTGAGGAAAGGGTCAGAATTTTGCTCTGGGTGACCAGGAACTGATGGTTCATTTATTAGTCTCTGGGAGTTGTCATTTTCTATCCAATCAATAAGTCAAAACAAATAGACAGCCTCCTTTTCTGTAAAAATGCCAAACTCTCCAATGGGGGTTCAGGGAATGAGGATGCTTCTTACAGGAAAGCAGAAGCCTGACTTTCTTCCACCTGCATTTTCTCTATCATTTCCACATGAGGACGGATTTCAGGCAGCAGAAGTGATACTGGTTTATATATCTACTTGGGGAGTATCTATCTATCCATCCGTCCATCCGTCCTTCCGTCCATCCTTCCATCATCCATCCATCCATCCATCCATCCATCCATCCATCCATCCACCCATCCAACCATTCTTCCATCCACTCATCCATCCATCCATACATACATCCTTCCATCATCCATCCATCCATCCACCCATCCACCTACCCAGCCAACCATTCTTCCATCCACACATCCATCCATACATACATACATCCTTCCATCATCCATCCATCCACCTACCCATCCAACCATTCTTCCATCCACTTATCCATCCATACATACATACATCCTTCCATCATCCATCCATCCATCCATCCACCCATCCAACCATCCATGCAACTACCCAACCACCATCCATCCACCCACCCATCCAAACCTCCCAATCAACAACCGAGAAACCATCCATCATTCAACTACCATCTACTATTCACCTAATCATCATTCACCCATTGATCCACACATCCATCCATCCATTCATACATCTAACCTTTCAACATATATTTTTGGTTTTAAATGCCATCCGTAGGCTAACTCCTCCCAAATTCATGTTTCCAGCCCTGAGCTCTTCCTCTAAACTCCAAAGGTAAATACTGTCAACTTGAAGGTCTATCATGCATCTTAAACTTTGTATCCCCAACTTGATTTTCTCAACTAAAACTGTTCCTTTCAGTCTTCCCCAGCTTGGTGTTCAACTCCAAACTTGGGAGTCAGCCTTGCTTCTTCTCTTTCCTTCATTATTCATGACCAACAAGTCCTGCTGGTTTTACCTCGTAAATATTCATCATCTCTTGAATTCTCTCCAGCTGGCTTACCACCATACTGGTCCAAAGTTCCTATCTTCCCTAGTCTGCACAACTACACCACCAAACCAGTTGCCATGGAGTCGATTCCGACTCATGGAGACCCTATGTGTGTCAGAGTAGAACTGTGCTCCATAGTGTTTTCAGTGGTTGCTTTTTTAGAAGTAGATCACCAGACCTTTCTTCTGAGGTGCCTCTGGGTGGACTTGAACCACAACTTTTTGGTTAGCAGCCTAGAGCATTAATCATTTGCACCATCCAGGGACTCCAAATGACTACAAGAGTCTCCTAAGTGCTTCCATTTGTGCACTCTTCTGATCTACTGTTCTCAAAGCAACTGGAGGGATCTTTGAACAAGGCAAGTTAGGCCATGACACTCCCAGGTTTAACATCCTGCTGTGGCTTCCTTTAAAATAAAATCCAGAGCCTTTCCACCGTTTGCAGGACTATTCATCATCTGGCTGCTGCCAGCCTCTCTGACCCCATCTCTTACCTCTGCCCCCTCATTCAATCTGTTCCAGCCACTTGGACCTATTTTTCAAATACGCCAAGCCTCAGAGCCTTTGTACTCGCTGTTTCCTCTTCCTGGAATGTTCCTTCTCTAGACTTGCACTGTCCAATATGGTAGTCACCAGGCACATGTGCCTATTAAAATGTAAGTTGACTAAAATTAAATAAAAATTAAAATTTAGTTCTTCCTTTGCACCAGCCACTTTTCAAATGCTCAATAGCCCCATGTGGCCAGTGGATACCATATTGGACAATGTGGCTATAGAACATTTCCCTTCATTTGCAGAAAGTTCTACTGGACAATGGTGTACAATCTACAGATCCCATGTCTGCGAGCTCAACCCAAATGTTATCTCCTCAGAGAGGCCTTCCCTGGCCACCTGGTCTAATGTTGCCCCTACTGACCCCCAGTCATTCTCTGTTATATTCCCCCTGTTGATTTTCTTCAGAGCAATGATCATTATTCATTTCTCTTCTTATTTATTTACATTTATGTTTTTTTTCTATCTCCCCACCTTGACTGTAAGCTCCATTAAGCACAGACGCTGTAAATGCCTTAATAAATGCAATATCCCCAGGACCTAGCACAGTGCCTAGCACACAGTAAGTGCTCCATGAATGAATGCTGTGTGTGTCAGACACTGTCCAGGGCACTGGAGGCACGCAGTAGGCAGTGGGACAGAGGGAAGCCAATCGCAGCTGTTTGCCACTTCCTGACTGTATAATCCTGTGCATGTCTCCAGCCTCAATTTTCTCAGCTGTAAAGTAGGAATAGTAATAGTTCATCTCTCATTGGGCAGTTGTAGGATTTAATAGTGCTCAGGTGTTAACCAAAATGTTGGCAGTTTGAACCTACCCAGCGACTCCCCAGGAGAAAGACCTAGCAATCTGCTCTGTAAACATTAAAAACCAAAAACCAAACCCATTGCCGTTGAGTTGATTTCAACTCATAGTGACCCTATAGGACAGGATAGAATTGCCCCACAGGGTTTTCAAGGAGCAGCTGATGGATTTGAACCACTGACCTTTTGGTTAGCAGCAGTAGCTCACCGTAGCTCTTAACCACTGCACCACCAGGGCTCCTGGCAAAGGTTACAGCCTAGGAAACCCTATTGGGCAGTTCTACTCTGTCATTCCTTTCGGTTAGCAGCTGAGTGTGTTAACTATTTGCACCACCCAGGGATCCAATGCACTTTTATTTAATTAAAAAAGAAAGAAAAAGAATTGACTTTCAGAAGACCATTAGCTAGAAAACTAAGACAGTGGTTTGCTGGGAGGGCAAAGCTGGATTTGGATCCTGGCTCAGGCACTGCTGGTGTCTTTGGAATAGGACCCTTGTGTCTCTGAGTCTTAGGTTTTTCAGCTGTGAAACTGTGGAGTAATTATAGTGTACTTGCCTCATAAGGAAGGAGCCCTGGTGGTGCAATGGTTAAGTAGTCGGCTGTTAAATGAAAGGTTGGTGGTTCAAACCCACTAGCTGCTCCTTGGGTGAAAAGACCCGATAACCTGCTCCTGTAAAGATTACAGCCCAGAAAACTCTATGGGGAAGTTTTACTCTGTCATTATAGGGTTGCTATGAGTCAGAATTGACTCAATGGCAATGGGTTTTTTTTTTTTTTTTTTTGGTTTATGAGTAGGAAGAGGAGCCCTGGTGGTGCAGTGGTTAAAGCACTTGGTTGCTAACCAGAAGGTCTGTGGTTTGAACCCACTAGCCTGCCTGCTCCATGGGAGAAAGATGAGGCAGTCTGCTCCCATAAAGATTAAAAAGACTCAAACCCACTGCCACTGAGTTGATTCCGACTCATAGCAACCCTATAGGTCAGAGCAGAACTGCCTCATCGGGTTTCCAAGGCTGTAAATCTTTACAGAAGTAGCCTGCCACATCTTTCTCCCACAGAGTGGCTGGTGGGTTCAAACCTCTGACCTTTAAGTTAGCAGCCGAGCACGCTGAGCCATAAAGATTATAGCCTTGGAAACCCTATGGGGCAGTTCTATTCTGTCCTATGAGATTGCTATGAGTTGGAATTGACTTGACGGCAATGGGTTGGGTTTTATGAATTGGAATCCACTTGAAGGCACACAACACCACCTCATAAGGCTGTTGAGCATTCCATAAGACCATGCATGTGGAGCTCTTAGCCTTGGGCCATGGCAGACAGGAGGCACTCAGGACGTGGACATGAGTCCTGGAAGTGTCACCAAAGGAGAGGAGCTACCCTACAGATAGGCAAGGCTGGTGCCAGGCGCCTGACTCCCCGTGGACCCCTTGTTCTCCTTCAAGTCTCAGTTCAAGTCCTTTGGGAGGCCATCCGGGCCAGGAGCTGCTGTTAAATCTCTGGGCTCCTGGCTTGATGCCTTGAACCCTTGTCTCATGTCACAGTTGCAACTAATTATTGACTAATTAGTTGGATAGTTGTCTGAACAATGTCTGCATCCGTCCCCGCTAGGCTCTGGGTGCTGGGAGTTGGGACTGTGTCTGTGCTTGTACAGTATCCAGCACAGTGCCTGGTGTTCGGAAGTTGTTGAATGAGTGAATGTATGAATAATGCATGGATAGGGTTTCCAGAGAACTTGCCTGCAAAGGCAGGAAAGAGGAGCTTAGGTGTGAGGAGAGTAGTCTTTGGAGATCAACTTTAGGTGGAGTCAGATAGGTTTTGGGTCACCCCAAGGCTTAAAGGCAACGTGAACCAGCAGGTTCTGGGAGAGGCTGAGAATGAAGAGATAATAATAAGATAAAGTAATAATAATGACTAATATTTGAGTCTCTTCTACCTGCCATTCACTGACCACTTAACTCGAATTACCTCCTTTGAATATTCACATCAACCCTTTGTGGTAAGAACTCATACGCTTCCATCTTACAGAAGACGAAACAGGCAGAGGCAGTGGCAGGGGCAGCGGCAGGATTTGAACCAGTGTCCATCCCACTCCTCTGACTCCCAGAGACCCCAGGGAGGCCAGGAGGCATTGAATATGGTGGGGGCTGCCGAGGGGGTATTTTGGAGGACTGGGGTGGGGCTGGGGTGCAGAGTAGAGCAGTTAGAGAAGGGGACTGGTGGGCAGGATCTAGGACACAGAAAAAGAGTTGGAGGCATTCCCAAGGGAGGGTACTGCAGTCAGAGGGGAAGGAGCTGGGGTCAGTGGGGAAGGTGGGCTGATCCCAGCGGGGAAACCGGGTCACACAGGGACAAGCAGGAAGCTCTCTGGGGTGTCCGGGTGGGACCCGGGCCCTAGGTGAGCGGAGGAGGGGGCGGTTGGGGAGCTCGCGGCTCCCATGCCCCCACGCCCCCCTCCACCTGACCCCTCCCACGAGTGTCGGGAGCGGCCACCCCGCCTTCACCCCCGCACCCCCGCGCGTTCGCGTTCTTACCGCCTGACACGGCCACGGTCAGGGAGGCGATTGCTGCGGCCAAGGGCCACATGGCGGCTCTTGGGTGGGGGGCAGGGCGGGGCCTGAGGAGAAGTCGAAGGGGTGTTAAGGGCTCGCCTGGAAGCGCCCATTTCTGAAATCCGTCTGCTTTTGCTCTTCCCCGCCTTGAATCTCCAAACCTCTGACCCTGGAATCGGCACACCCCCACCTCCTGTTCTGTCCTCCGGTGGGGGACAAGCAGGGAGGTAGGAGGGGCACCCTGCACCTCCTTGGGCTCTGGCTGGTGGCTTCTCACCCAAGATGACCAACCCCCCTCCCCCCACCAGCCCTCCAGCGTGCTGGGTCCTTGGAGCACTCTGCTGCCGCCACCATCCCCTTCGTGTGCCTTTCATTCTTTCCCCCTCTCTGCTCCCCTTTCTCACCTCTCCAAGTCTGTCAGGACACTGGGCCTCAACCTGAATTTCTTTCTCCGCAGTCTTCATCTCTCTCCATCTCTGCATGTCTCTTTCTATCCGTTTATCTGTGCTTCTAGCTTCCGGCTCCATCTCCCTGACTCAGCTGTTCTTTCTCTGTCCCTTTCCCTCTTCACCCCTCCTTCCTCTCCCTCCTCCATCACTCCCTGCCCGCTCCACTAGCGGACCCTACCTGAGTGAGGGGCCCAGGTGAAGAGCTTCTGCCGCCAGCTGCCTCGAACTTCAGCCCCGAACTTCAGCCCTGACCCATGGCTTTTAACCCCTAAACTCCCACCCCCAGCGCCCTCAGTATTTCCGGTCTCTGGCCTCCCCTTCTCCACCCGCTCTGGCTCGGCAGGCTGTAGGCACCCTCCCCCCCCCCCAGGGCTTGGCCGTCCAAGGGCGGAGTTTCCAGGACAAGCTGGGACCCAGACCTGGACTCGCCTAAGCCTGGGTTGAACCCACTGTGAACTTTTGAAGTAGCAGAACCCAACAAGAGGGAAGTGGGAAGCCCATTCCCTTCCCCAAACCCACCCTAAACCCCATGCCTACCCGTTCTCCATCCCTAAAGCCATTCCTACTTCTAACCTCCTCTCCAACCCAATGCGTTTTCTAAATATACATCAGCTCCCAGATGGCCATTTTCTACTCCATTCCCATCTCCCTACCCAGCCTTAACCATAGTCTATTCCTGAACACCAATCTCATCTTCAACTCCAAGTTTGTCTCTCAACATAAAGCCCAACATGGCCAAATTTCTATTTCCAGACTCATCTCCAGCCCCAACTTCATCTTCTGAAAAGATACAAAACCTGTTGCCATCGAGTGACCCTATAGGACAGAGTTAGAACTGCCCCAATAGGGTTTCCAAGGAGCTGCCGGTGGATTCAAACTGCCAGCCTTTTGGTTAGCAGCCATAGCTCTTAACCACCGTGCCACCCAAATTCATCTCCACCAGCACAGATACCACTCTCCCCCTCCTCTCCCCACATACACAACCATCAGGCACAAGAAGGGAATATTTAGATCCCATACTCATTGCCATTGAGCTGATTCTGACTCATAGTGACCCTATAGGACAGAGTAGAACTGCCCCATAGAGTTTCCAAGGAGTGCCTGGTGGATTCAAACTGCCGAACTTTTGGTTAGCAGCCATAGCACTTAACCACTATGCACCAGGGTTTCCAGATATTTAGATAGGTGGATAGAAAAGTCAACTACTCTTGGATTTGGATGGGGACAGAGATGGGTCCCGGGAAAGCAATATTTTGGATAAATGTCCTTTCAGGAGCAGGGCTAGAAGGGGTGAGGGAGTCCATGGGGACATAGTTGGAGAGGGAGAAGCAGGATCTGGAAAATTCTGGGGGCTGGGATGGAGGGGAAGAGGAAGGAGGAAGGGGTGGTGTTTCAGGAATGAGTAGGTGTCTCCCGGTACTGTGATTGGGTGGGGCCCTAAATTAATCCCAGGGTGTGGAGGGGGCAGGATTAGGGATTAGGGGGGACAGAGGTGGGGTCAGAATTTGGAAGAAGGCCAGTGATGGGGACCAGATAAAGTTTGGAGACAGAGAGATAGAGCAGTGGTGTCAGTAGGAGGAGAAGGGGTAGAGATGGATAAAGTGAGGGTTCATGTGCAACTGGTGTGGTCCATATTGAGGGAGTTAAGGTTTGGATGTAGGGATAGAATCTAGGGTTAAAGGATAATTTTTAAAAGGGTATAACCATAACTCTCATACATATATAAAATGAACGTATGTTAAAGATTTTATTTTAACTCATTAATAAATGAGGCAGCCAATAAGATGTTAGTTACAACTGGTTCAAAGGAGAATTCAAAGAACCATGTGTGGATAGGCAATAAGGAATGCTGAAATAATTTTACAAATAGATGCAAAACTGACCTATGCCACATGGAGGGGAGAAAAATCAGTTATGCTTCTACCTGACAAAATCCACTTGCATAGTTATGGACAAGAGTTATTTGCATTGTTATCAACTATCTACAATTTATAGAGTCTTAAAATAGCCTTTGAATTATGGTGTTGGTGAAGAATATTGACTATACCATGGACTGCCAAAATAATGAACAAATCTGTCTTGGAAGAAGTACAGGCAGAAAGCTCCTTAGAAGCAAGGATGGCTAGACTTCGTCTCACTTACTTTGGACATGTTATCAAGAGGGACTAGTACCTGGAGAAGGACATCATGTTTGGTAAAGTAGAGGGTCAGTAGAAAAGAAGAAGACCCTTGACGAGATGGATTGACACAGTGGGGGCAGCAATGGGCTCAAACATGACAATGATTTTAAGGATGGCATAAGACAAGGAAGCATTTTATGCTGTTGTACATAGGGTCGCTAGGAGTCAGAATTGACTTGATGGCACCTAACAATGACAAAAATAGCTCCAAGACAATGGAAGATGCAGAGACCCCATAGAATCAAATAACTCACCTAGTTTTCCACTGAAGACATTTAGTGATCTGTTGGGTCCATTTCAAAGTCTTTTACAATTTTTCCCTGTACTAAGAAAAAGAGTATGGTTTAATTTAAGGTTGGGGTGGAGTTTGTGGTTAGGTTTAGGATGGGTCACATGACAGCATTGGGAATGCAAGTGAGTTTTGGGAGGAAAATGGAGATGGGATGAGAATGGGTAATGGGATTGGAGGTGGTACTGGAGTTGGTGTTTGGGATAGGGTTGGATTGTAGATGGGAGGGGTTTGGTGATAAGGTTGTTGATGGGGTCCTGTTGGGTTGGGGCTGGAGGTGGGGCCAAGACCGAGGTTTTGGATGGGGAGGTGTTGAGGTACAGATGAGCTGGGGTTGTGTGCTGATTTGGTGATGAGGACGAGAGATGAGGTTGAATGTCTGTGTTGGGGTAGAGCTTTGGTGGGAGTGGGCTGGGTGACAGTTGTGATCCAGCGCAGGGTGAGAGAAATGCTACTATCCTTCCCCACTCTGGGTCTCCCCCACCTTACAGGGCTGGGCCCAGAGAGGCTGCTGAGTTCACTCTTTTTGAGTGGAGTTTTTGAGGCAGGGTGGCAGGAGGGAGTATTCCAGGTTAAGTGAGGTGACAGATTTGTGTGGGAAGCTGGGATACATGTGCCCTCTTGTGGCCTGGGTCTACACTTCCAGAGAAACCTTTCTCACTTGGGAAGGGCTAGGGCCTGGAGTGGTTGCGGCTGGCTCTGGCATTCACTGCAGGTTGAGTGCCAGGTCAACACTGATCTACTAGGGGTTATGTGGTCAGGACTTAGGTGGACTTACTCTCTTGTTGAAGTAAAGTCACAGACCCACCAAGGGCTGGGTGAGTTCCACCTGTTCATTTGCTCAGTAAGCCAACTGGAGCCTATGGAGGGCAGTGGCCTGCTGGAAGTCACACACAAACTGCATCAAATCCAGGGTCTTTCATAGATCAGAGTATTTCCCCAAAGATCAGGGTTGGAGAAAGAAACAAGGACTAGAAAAACAAGAAGTGTTGTGTTGTGATTAAGAATGATTAACAGCTAAAGCTCTAGACTGCCTGGGTTCAAATCCAAGCTCTGTCACTTATTAGCTATGCAACGTGAGCAAGTGACTTGGCTTCTCCATGTCTGTTTCCCCATTTGTAAAATGGCACCATCAATAGCACCAACTTCACAGGGGAGAATTGAATTAATATTTGAAGGTGCTTGGAAGACAACCTGGCACAGTCTAAGGGCCACAAACGCACATGTAAATAAGGAAAGCTGGAGATGAAGGCAACCTGAAGCTCCCAGAGGCCCCACCCTAGCTTGGCTTCAAAATTGGGTTCTTTGTCAAACTGGAACTGGAAGGTCTGGTTAGAAGCGCTGGCTGGAACGAGAAAGTTGGCCTGACACCCAGGCCTGGAGGAGGGGCCCAGATGCAAACATGAAGGGAAGGGGAGACAGAGAAAGGCACAAAGCAGTAAATACACGTGGATAGAAAGCCGGGGTGGGTGAGAGAGGACAGAAAAAATGAGAAAGACAAAGACACAGATAGAGAGACAGAGGGACACCCAGAGAGAAATCAGACTTTGACTCTTGGAGAGAAAGACGCACAAGGAGTTGACAGATATGGATTCTTCTTTGAAGCTGGATCCATGTTGTTAAGGATGGCGGCCTCCTGTGGAGCAACGACGTACCACTTTTCACCCATAGCAGAAATTACAAAGGTCAGTCTTGCCACCTATCTGCGTCTGTGCCCACATCCTCTGCCTCTTTTCCCATTTCTATAGATGAACAGTCTACTCCATCTCAAACAGACCCCTCCACTCATGCCTGATATCCCATCTGCTCTCGTCTCCTTAAGGACATGGCTCCAGCAGTTCTCTCTTGCCTGCTTCATCAGTTTTTTCTTCCCCAACAAGCAGTCCCAGGGCTCAGTCCTTGGCCATCTTCTCTCTTCTGTCTGTACTCATTCCCTTGGTGATCTCATCTGGTCTCGTGGCTTTAAATATCATCTACCTGCTGATGACTCCCAAATTTATGTCTCCAGCCAGACCTTGCTCTTGAACTCTCTTGACTTAATATCCAACTGCCTACTCAACATCTCCATGCTCAAAACCAAACTCCTGCTTTTCACTCCACTCATGTTCCAAACATG